ATTTGTCCATCGCTTACAAGAGAATAGGAATAAGTATAAACCTGAGTGAGAATACAGGAAATAGGTACGAATAAATGGGGACAATAGGACAGGGACGGGAGGCAAGATTGTGCGCTTGTGCACGCCCCTTACAGACCTCTTAAGGAATGGGGTAAGGTCAGTAGTGGATAGTTTGAGGTTAAAAGGAGTGGAGGCTAGAGGATGTAACAACAGAGTCAGGTAGTGCATTCCGGGCATTGACCACTCCGTTGCTGAAGACATATTTCCTGCAATCAAGTTTGGAACTGTTTACATTGAGTTTGTATCTGTTGTGTGCTCTTGTATTGTTGTGGTTGAAGCTGAAGTAGTCATTGACTGGTAGGATATTATAAGCAGATAATTTTGTGTACTATGCTTAAGTCCAACTGTAGGTGGCGTAGTTCAAGGTTGTCCAAGCCCCAAATTTCAAGTCTGGTGGTGTAGGGTATTCTGTTGCCAGCAGAGAAGTGGGGTACTAGAAGCATTTGAAATGCAGATTTGCAGGCGGCTGTTACGTATAAGCTGAGTTGACAAAATCAGAAATGAGGTGATAAGCCGCCTGGGAACGCCAAGGGAAATCATCAAAACCATTTAAAAAAAAAAAAGCAAACTTAGAATATTTTGAACATGGAATGCAACACCTGGGGGAAAAAAAGGCATTCTCCAGGGAAAGATTGAAGGCAAATGAGGTCCAGGCAGAAGAACTTCAAAATCTAAGTGACCAGTTTGGACAAAACTCAACAGCATTTTTTCATGTGGCTGTTGATAAAAATAGAATTGCCAACATGATTACCAATGTTCAATGACGGATATGGCACAAGAAGATGATGATGTTGGCTATAGCCTATGCAGATGAGTGGGAATTTCACCAGTGGTGGGATTCAAATTTTTTTTACTACGGGTTCTGTGGGCGTGGCTCGGTGGGCGTGGCAGGTGAAGGTTACTACAAAATCCCCCTTCCCTCCCCACCCCACTATCCTGCTTTCCAGCTCCGTTCTCCTGTGCAGGGCAACCAAAGGAGACCCAGCCGATCAGCTGGGACTCAATGGGAGGCAGAGAATAGATGGGGTTGGTGGGGCCAGTCAGAGGTGGGATTGGCCGGTTCTCCAAACTACTTAAAATTTCCGCTACCGGTTCTCTAGAACTGGTCAGAACCTACTGAATACCACCTCTGAATTTCATTCATAAGAATACAAACATGAAAAACAAAACGGAACACGTGCAACAAACTGAAAAGAGGATGAGAACACAAAGGCTTTCATCGGAAGATCTGGCAAATCGTGATACCTGTGGGGGCCAATGCCAGATGTAGTCCCTTAGAGCAGCATTAAGGAAGGAAACTTACAGGCTTAATGATAGCGGCGTTTCTCAACCATGACAGCTTGAAAATGCATTGGGCTTCAACTCCCAGAATTCCCCAGCCAGCATCTTCAAACTGGCAAGGTTGAGAAACACTGAATTATAGGATTAATGAGGCTCAATTCAGCCAATTCACATTAATCCTCGGAAACAAGCTAGGAAATCCTGCAAATTTCCAAAAATGTCTTTCCCAGCCAAAAGTCCGGGGTCCTGTAACCAGGAAGGGAAGGGTTAGCACCTTTTCTCTCTTTCTCTCTCTCTCTTTCTCTCTCCCTTCCTTTCTTTCTGTCTCTCCCTCCGTCTCTCTCTCTCTCTCTCTCTCCCTTTCTCTCTCTCTCTCTCTCTCTCTTTCTCCCTCTCCCTTTCTCTCTCTCTCTCTCTCCTGCTCCTAGCCAGATGTGAACCAGCAACATCTGAAACCACTGCTTAACAGTCTCTTCTTACAGCTAGTCTTCGACTTATAACAGTTTAGTGACCATCTGAAATGACAACAGCACTGAAAAAAGTTGCTTACGACTGTTTTTCGCACTTACAACCAACACACTATCCGCGTGGTCATGTGATCCAAATTCAGATGCTTGGCAGCTGACTCGCATTTATGACAGTTGGAAGAGTCTGGGAATCCCCTTTCGCAACCTTCTGACAAGCAACGTGAATGGGGAAACTAGGTTCACTCAACTGTGCTGTAACTTAACAACTGCAGTGATCCACTTAACAGTGGCAAGAAAGGTTGCAAAATGGGGCAAAACTCACTTAACAACGCTCTTGTTTAGCAACAGAAATTTATAGGCTCAATAAGGGTTACAAGTCAAGGACTTCCTGGGAGAATTCCTTTTCTCTCTTTCTGTCTCTCTTTGTTTTTCTCTCTTTCTCTCTCTCTCTCCCTTCCTTTCTTTCTGTCTCTCCCTCCCTCTGTCTCTCTCCCTCTTTTTCTCCCTTTCCCTTTCTCTCTCTTTCTCTCTCTCTCTCTCTCTCCTGCTCCTAGCCAGATGTGAACCATTTTTGACGTTGGAATGATGTCTTTTGTAGTTTTCTCCTGTCGTATCAACTATAAACTTGACCCCTTTTAAGGTTTTGAAGAGTTACACCGCTGACAGACAGTATGGAGTTCTTTCACTTAATTGATTCCTAACACTTCTTTGGCCCCGAAAGAAGCCAAACAGGAGAGCATTTTTATCAGAGGGCCTGATAACAGCAGTTATCTAAAAAAGCTGGTGCTAACTTCTCAGAACTGATAGGGAAGAGTAACAGATACTGAAATAAAGAAGAAAAACCTGCTGTCCATCTGTCTCAATCTGTTGAAAGCTGATTAATTTTTTCAGACTGGCTCGGAAAAGATCTTATTTTTCATTAAAATGCCAAACTACGCCCGGTTGTTTCTTTTCTGGTATCAGACTTTGCAGTACATAAGGATTAAATTCCTCGGAAACAAAGCAAGGCAAAACAAAACATTTGATATCAAATGTATAACATGGCCTTGGTGTATGTACCCGTTTTAAATTTTTTAACAAGACCGTGGGAGTCGTGTTTAAGCCTCCATTGCTATCACCCTGGCACCTACAACCTCAGTCAGCTGCTGGTTGGGTTCAGAAAAAAATGCTGGTTTGTGGAAGATGGCTCAAGGCAGGTTTATGAATGGACATGTTCAACTAACAAGTAAGAATGCTCAGGTTTTCCAAAAGGCAGGGAAGCTTGTTGATCTATTGATCGCCCCGTCCTATGCATTACAAATCTGTTTATTTCTATCCAGCCTTTATTATTTTTACAAATAACTCAAGGTGGCAAACATAGCCAACGTACTTTCCTTCTCCTATTTTCCGAACAACCACCCTGCGGGGTTAGCCTGAAAGAGAGTGACAGTCTCAAGGTCACCCAGCCAGCTTTCATACCTAAAACAGAACTAGAACTCACAGTCCCCTGGTAATTGGCCCAAAACTTGCTTTCACGGCTTATGCAGAACTAGAACTCACCATCTCCTGGTTCCTAGCCGCTTGCCTTAACCACTTTTAATTCCCACAAGGCCTAGTATCTACTCATGACCCCAAAGAACAGCCCTGATTTTTCTTCCCTAATTGTCAGGGCTCCAGCAACTCTGAAAGACCACATAAATATTTTTGAGTTGACACTAATACCGGCTCATGCAATTCACAATTGTGGGACCGAAGAAAAGCTTGCTAAAAGCCAACATTCATTATTCAGAAACAACCCAGGATGCTGTAAACATTGCTCTGAAGAACCTGTAAATTATTATCATTTTCCTGAAAAGCTGTCTTTGACCTTTTGGTTGGATCCCTTGCTTGGTATCTTTCCACTCGTTTCTTTCTCTCTCTCTCTCTCTCTCCTCTCTTTACTGATTAGCTCGTTCCCTCTAAGGGCTCCTTTCTTGCTCCAGGCACAACATTACATAATATTCTTGGCTGGGATCTCACTTGGCGGACTCCCAACATCCCACACATGCAGCTCTTTGGAGCAGTTTCAAAGCCCAATATTGCCAAGTTGATCCTGGGGACAGTAACTGGTTCCTCCTAGAACTACAACACCCACAATGCCTTGGTCCCTGAGGGTGCTAGCTGAGTCAAGGTGAACCCCATTCAAACATAGTTCGTTACTTATTGCAATGGTACATTGCAATTTCAAAGTATTTTCTTTCATTATTATTACTATTAAATATTTTATTGGATTTTTAAAACATTGGACACGGTGTGGTTGTCCCGGCATTCATTTTTGCCATACATACTAAAGTACATGACACATACCTTATATACATTTATAGATTTATATACTGATAACGTATATCCATTGTCTTATCCATTATATTCCATCGTACCTCAATTATCCATTCTACAAATCTTAATTATTTTTTTTATTCTGGGTCCCTCCTTTCTGTTCCCACCCTTGGTAAAAATGTATTCTATACCTTGTAACATTCTGTCTCTTCTTTATTTTTCAATCCCAGAGTCAGTCTACCCATTTCAAGCACCCAATTTCTCAAAAGTATTTTCATTTCTTCATTTCAAAGTATTTTCACTGGCAGGTCCCTAACCCAACCAAGTTTATCAAGCATGCACAAACCCGGATCAGTCTTTTTCCCATACCCCACCAATTGGAAGCTATCCTTCTCACAAACAGGGATAGCCACAACCTTGGTCACTTTTAAAGCTTGCGGGCTTCCACTCCCAGAATTCCCCAGCCAGCCAAGCCAGCCCTGGGGCATTCTGGGAGTTGAAGTCCACAAAGTCTCCATCACGCTGCCCAAGCTGGGACATTTCTGCTCAGTGCATTTGCAGCCTTTCCAGCTTGGAAAGAAATCTTAGCTTTCCGTCCCACGTCTTTAAAGGGGCTGCTTCCCACCCCCGCCACCACCCCGCAAAATCGGCGTGCGGGATTCCAAGAGAGGGCGCCCGCTTGGAGAAAGAAGGGCAGGTCTGCAGGGACGCCGGCCGGCCGTCTTGGCGACTCATGCAGGCGGTGCCAAGCGCACGGACGGGTCTCTCTCCGGGGTCCTCTCCACCCAGCCGGGGCTTCCCACTGGCAGCAGCCCGAGCTCCGGGCTTACCTTAGCAAGGGACCTCCCGACCCAGAATTCCAGAAAGCCCCGCGGCGGACGCTCGGCTTTAAGAGGAACCCGGAATCGCCCGGCACCCGCTCGCCTTCCAGACGCTCCGCGGCTTTTCGCCGCCACTTAAATAGACCAGTTAAGTCGAGGTGGGCAAGCCGCAGAGCCGAGGGGCGGGGCTTGGGCCCCTCGCGGGGCGGGGCTAGGCTCATCTCCCAGTCGCGTGAGTCAGCGCTTTCCCGCTCGCCGGGCGGCTCGGCTTCTCGCGCTCTCTCTCTCTCTTTTTATGAATGGAGGGGAAAAGCCGCGCCGCGCTTACCGGGCAGCAGCGCCTTCTTCGGCAAGGAGCCGCTTGGCTAAGCCTTGGTAAGAGCGCCCCTGGGATGGGATGGGATGGGATAGAGAAGGTGGAATATGGAATAAAGAACAGAACAGAACAGAACGGAGTAGAGTAGTGGAATGAAGACTAGGATAGGACAGGATAGAAAATAGAATAGAATAGAATAGAATAGAATAGAATAGAATAGAATAGAAGAGAATAGAGTAGAGTAGAGTAGAGTAGAGTAGAATAGAATAGAATAGAATAGAATAGAATAGAATAGAGAAGGAATCATAGAATAGAGAGTAGAGTAGAATAGAATAGAATAGAATAGAATAGAGAAGGAATCATATAGAATAGAATAGTGTAGAGTAGAATAGAATAGAATAGAGAATGGAATGGAGTAGAGTAGAATAGAACAGAATAGAATAGAATAGAGAAGGAATCATATAGAATAGAATAGAGAATAGAGTAGAGTAGAATAGCATAGCATAGCATAGCATAGCATAGAATAGAATAGAATAGAATAGAATAGAGAAGGAATCATATAGAATAGAATAGAGAATAGAGTAGAATAGAATAGAATAGAGAGTAGAGTAGAATAGAATAGAAATGGAACTTAGAATAGAATGTAGAATAGAAAATAGAAGAGAATATAGAATGGAATGGAATGGAATAGAATAGGACCTTAGAGGTCTTCTAGTCCAACCCCCCGCTCAGGCAGAAAACCCTAACCCACTTCAGACAAATGGTTGTCCAATCTCTTCTTAAGAACTTCCAGTGTTGTAGAATTCACAACTTCTGGAGGCAATACTGCAATCCAGTTTTTGGTCACCACATTACAGAAAAGATGAGACTAAAACATATGAGGAACGGCTGCAGGATTGGGGTCTGGCTGGTCTAAAGAAAAGAAGAACTGGGGGTGACACGATTGCAGTCTCCCAGTATTGGAGGGGCTGCCAGAAAGAAGAGGTGGGGCGGGTGTCAAGTTATTCTCCAAAGCACCTGAAGGCAGGACAAGAAGCAATGGATGGAAACTGACCAAAGCGAGAAGCATCTTGGAATTAAGGAGAAATTTCCTAAGAGTGAAGATAATCAAACAGGGGAACAGCTTTGCCTCCAGAAATCACGGATGCTTTTATCACTGGAGGCTTTTAAGAAGAGACTGGACAGCCACTTGTCTGAAATGGCATAGGGTCTCCTGCTTGAGCAGGGGGCTGGACTAGAAGACCTTCAAGGTCCCTTCCTGCTCTATTCTATTCTTATTCTGAACTGGAAGCTGCAAAACTCTCCAGGTTGGGGTGGGGGGAGTGGCAGTTCCCAGCCTGGGGCAAAACAGAAGCCCCGTCCTTTG